TTATATTGCATAAAAGTTGAAGAAAACCCTAATTTTGGAAATGGCTGCCGGAATGACCATTAAGGAAAAACCATGTTACTTATGATACTCAAACTTACTGAAAAGTTTCGTAAGACTGATGTGCAGTTTGTGTTGGAAAATCAGTGTGATTGTTTTCCGTTTTGGAAGCAATGTAGCTCTATAGAGTGCTATATGGGGCTACTGTGTATGGATGGTGGTAATTGCCCCTTGGGATAGTCACAAGCTAAATTCAGAGCTATAAAATCATTTGCCTAATTGATTTCCAAGTGCCCATTAAATAAGATTACATAAAACACACGCTGAGACTTCCCAGTAAAGTCCCATAGGTTAAGCTCTCTTAACTGTGTCACATAATTAGGAATCTATGATAATTATGCAGGTAAATGTTGTTTAATATTGCAAATAAGTTAACAAAACAAAACAAAAAAATAGATGAATAACAGTGTCTTATTATCCTCAAACACATTGGGGTTATTCATATCATGTTATTACAGCAAGATTAAAAGTTTGAATAGTAGCTTTAATGGGATATTTTTGTGTTTTCTTTTTAATTTTTTTTTTCAAACACTGGCATTTTCAGCTCCCATCCACCTGAAGCTCTTCACATTTTCTGTATTTCCACATAAGCAGTTGCATTGGTTTTTATGTCTTTAAACATTATGTAATATTATTTTATGCACTGTCATCATTATTTAGATATTGGGATTTTCATTATGTGAATTTGGTCCTGAAACTGTAATCTTATTGCAGGGGTGGATTGAGGCCATCTTCTGGGTCTTTCAGATTTTAAAGTTCACATTGATGGGCATCTCTTTTTTCTGTTGGAAGACCATCAAAAATGTAGGATGGATCAACAAAGATAATTTGGAATACTGTCAGAAAATATCTCTGGATCAGCTCCTGTTATTGACGATGTCACCTGTTGTGCATGATTAAATTTCAGCGTTGATTGACAGTGCTATTGTAGGCATCAAAATTGACAAAATGAACCATTTTCTGCATTTTTATTTTGTGTTTTTGTCTGTACATTTGACAGCTTTGCTGCCTTGTTTTACATCATCAAATTACCGATATAAAAGCCTAAGTATAAGCTTGCGTTAATATCCGTAATTTTGAATAAAAGAGAAAACCATCACGACGGTATAGAAACGCTACAGAATATAGGCAAACACAAACGTTGTACTTCATATACAGTAGCAGGTTTAGGTTTGTTACCCTTCACCCAAAACACCTTATTAACTGCCTTACATACATTCTTGTGGGTAATAGATAAATATTCAGTGTTCAGTGACTAAATTAATTAACATTTACGCATATGTCATCTTACGGGTGACGTCATAATTGCGATTTTGGGCTAAAAACTGAAAATCGGTTTGTCACATTTCTCTTTTAAGGAGCACCCACGATCACCGTTTCAACGCCGATTGAATGACAACATTAGTACTCCAAACCCTGCCTTTCACAAAAGTTATAGTTCAGGTGATATCGTTGATAAAGCAAAATAATGCCTTTGTTTAAATTACAAATGTAAATGACGGCACGGAATTGTACCATATTAACTCGTGGCACAGTCTGCAAATTTCTGTAATAAAATCTTGTTCAGGGTTGGGGTTACGCCCCATACCGATTGCTATCGCACCTCAAAAGATAATTAAAGGTGTTAAATTTGACGATTGAAGCTTTGAGATGCTTATGCAACGAGAATTATACACCCTGATATTTTGTATTTTCGAAGGATTTTTTTATTGCTTTAAATCGGTACAAAGATAGATGCATTATTAAATAAATAGATGCAGGAAAAAACTAATGTTCGGTATCTGGATGATAATAAGGGGTCACAATATCCTAAAGATTGGCTGAGAGACTGGGTTAAAGAAGTTACATTATTCCCCTTCAAAATTTCAACAACACAAAAAGAAACTGGCTAAAATTAACTGTCTTACATACATTCTTGTGGGTAATAGATAAATCTTCAGTATTCAGTGACTAAATTATTTAACATTTACGGATATGTCATCACAAAAAGAAATTGGCTAAAATCACGTAGCAAAAAGATACAGCAACATCAACATATTTTAAGGTGACATAAGTTTTCCGTTTGTAGATGTGTGAACGCTGTGAACGCAAATGTTGTACGTAGTGTTTGATGCCCTGCTGGGGGTTATACACTCTGAGATACGAATTTGTTTATATTCCTGCCAAGTATAAATACTTGTTTATCCCAGCTTGTACATATGAATGAAGATCGCTATCCTGCTCATGTATATGATGTGCTATTTAAATTAGATTCAAGTGGAAGGCACACTTGGGCCACAGATGTTAAAATGCTGTTATACAGATACGGATTTGGATATGTCTGGGAGGCTCAGGGTGTGGGAAATTCTGTTTTATTTATTAAAGTTTTCAGAGAAAGATTAGTAGATAATGCTGGCCAAATATGGCACAGTAACATATGTAAGAGCAGCAAACTGGATACTTATTCATTATTTAAGAGTACGTTAACACTGGAGTGTTACTTATTAAAATGTAAAACATAGAACCTCACTAGCAAGATTCAGGTGCGCAAATCACCTACTAAATATTGAGAGCGGTAGATGGAAAGGTATAGAAAGATGCAATAGACTCTGTTTAATCTGTAAAAAACATAATATTTATGATGTTGAAGACGAATACCATTTTTTAATGACATGCGTAGCATATACAGAATTAAGAGAAAAATATTTGCCAGTTAATCACCCTAATAAAGAAAGTTTTTTTAAGATTAATGAACACAAAAAACACAAATTTAATATCTAGTTTAGCTGTTTATATATTTAATGCTTTTTTATTAAGATAAGAAATTTTAGATCACTGACAAAAAATTAATAATTCTTAATATTTCTCATGGACTTTATTATTATTATTATTATTATTATTATTATTATTATTATTATTATTATCTATGGGCCGGAGGCCTTGAAAAACTGAATCAATTATATTATTATTATCCCAGCTTAAATTAAGCTTTAGTTGGCTTATTTTCTCAGGCAAAAGAGATGATTACGAAAGTATCCCCGGCTTTGGCCAGAAGTTCCTGGGTGTACAAGGCGGGTCCTTAGAAATCCACGGAGCTAATAAACTGCCCTGGACCAAACTGAGCGAAACTGCCCGTAAGATCAGAGCAGGAGACGCTGGTCTTGTTTGGAGCCATGACGTGAGTGGCTTTCTATTTGAATGATAATTCTCCAGTCGAATAAATTATCCAAACCAAGCCCAAACCATGGCACGGTTTTTAGGCCCGTAACCAGGGGGTGACTGGGTTCTCACGAACTGCCCTTTTTGCTGAGAAAATGTCCGCTCTGGGTAAAATGAGATCTAGGTACACAGGGCACACAGAGGCCCTTCCTAAAATTGCTGGCTTCGAGTATGTATCATGTTCAATCTTACAACCGGGTACTGCAACAAATGCTAAATGTCCGCACATATTTCAGAGTTTAGAGGCTAGATATCAATATATTTTCCTTTACAGTCCAGTGACAATTGGGGCATAATTGAGGACGGTCTTTACATGTATGCCTTTGATTCTACCGGGAATCCCAGCGTCTTCCAGTCCCCCTCGGATCCCATTAACACCGTGAGTGACGGTAAGGAAAGCTGAACGTTAAGTTTGTTTTTAATGCGTTGACAATTTGAGTTAGGTGATCGAGACATTTGATTTGTATAGTGGTATTTAATGACACTACGACACTCTCTCAATTTCATAATATGAAACCATGAAGGCGCTGCGTTAACATCCTACACCAAGCTGTTTCACGCTTTTCTGTTGTGTACCAGTGCCCAGGTATGTTGCCTTTCCATGATAACGTATACAAGTCAGTTGCCAGGAATATATACAAAAAAAATATAGTGTGGAAAAGGATAATTGTTTATATTTCTCATCAGTTAATTTTCATTACAGTTCTCGCTGACGGCCAGGTAGTCATGGCAGCCATGCGAGGTTCGAAAGACATACCGGAAATGTACGAGTTCCTGGAAAGTCTCGGAGCCAGTAAAGTCATGAATTTACAACCTGGATACGCTTGGGCAATGATCGCCGTCAAAGGTAAAAAGCTGTCCGAAATTTATCTGTAAACTATCCGTGTTGGAATTATTGAATATGACAACTTACAAAATACTCCTTGTTTTTCGTTTTATATTGTGTTTAAGTCATTTGCCCCATTTTTTACAACCATGTCTGTCATAAAATCAGGAAGAATGGAGCAAAGTTGAACTCCCCCAATTAACCCTACGTGAAACCCAACTTACTGCTTCCTACGCGCATGAAGAGGCAAAGATTGGTCGTCGGTTATATTAGAGCCAAGCGTCGTTGAAGATGCTACCACTGATGTTTTTTTTATATTTTATTTTATATGAATGTATTATTTTTTTTTTGTTTGTTTATTATTGCTTCTTTATTATTATTATTATTATTATTATTATTATTATTATTATTATTATTATTATTATTATCTTGTATGCCGCAGGAAGCCCTGAACTGGTTCTCGAGGAGCTGGTCGTCACCAACGGCCACATCAACACGGCCACCGGGCCACTCACCCTGAACTACGGGGAGAAATATTACACCGTGGAGAGCGCCACGGAAGTCAAGCACGAAATCGCGTTGAAGACTCAGCAGCGGTCGTTCGTCCGCTTCATGGTGATGGACGCTCTTATCCAGCCGGTACTGAACGTTATAGATGATGTGTCGTTATGGAAACCAGGTCAGTGGGGGCTTGTTGGTATTATTATTATTATTATTATTATTATTATTATTATTATTATTATTAATACTTTCAAGATGATGATGTTTTTCATCCAGTAAGAAAAATTACAATGAACTCTGAAAATAATTGAGGATCACTACAAATATCATGAATACTCTTTTTTCATATTTATTATTATAACATTTTTTTATATCCAGGTGACGTGGTGGTGGTGTCGTCTACAGATTACGACTGGGTGCAGGCAGAGGAGAGGACGGTGGTGGACTGTAGCGACTGCACTGAATACCAAGTCAAGTTAGACCGTACGTATTTCACATTCTACAACAAGATGCCAGCTGAATGATAACATTAATTCCTCACTGAAATTATCGTTCATGAGAGAAAAAGTGTAGAGACTTAGCCAGAGGCATGTTTGTTAATATCTAGTGAAAATCTGTCGCCCTTGTAGAGGGTTCTAGATTGACACTAATTCTATAACTTCGCTCATCACGCTATAGGATTGTTTACCGCGGCTCCGAATATGAGAATGTTCTTTTCTAAATCCGTCGTTTAATTTGATCACCCACCCTGATAGAACATATTGCAATCTGCAAGAAAATCAGGAGATACCGTTTTAAATAATCATAAAAAAATCATATATATCTCAGATCAATACCAATTAAGCTAAACCCTTGCATTGTGTAAGGATTAAATGAGTCGAATGTTAGCTGCTACACTTTTCTGCAGTGCGATTTTTCAATTTCTGCATTAAATACACATATTCACAACTTTTTTTTCTTTTTTTATTATTCAGGACCTCTGTTCTACGACCACTGGGGGGAGATCACGAACAACGTTGACATGCGCGCTGAAGTGTCACTTCTGACCAGGAACGTTCTGATACGGGGGCAGATGGAACTGGAATGTTACGGCGACAACGTGTGTGACAACTTTCAAATGGATACCTTTGGCGGACAATTGAAGGTTGTGATGATTACAATTTATTAACAAACTGAGTATTGATTATCATTACTTTTTTTCTTTTTTTTCTTAATTTGTAAATAACGTACCGGGTGATTTAAATGTATTCTATCAGTGTTTAATGAGGAAAATTCAATTTGGCACGAAAATCGCCACAAAGGATACTTTTTATTCTTAGGTATGGTTCAGGATTAAATATCGTTTCGTTTAGTAATTTTTTTATTAACAAGTGAAAGCACAATAAGATACAATGATGAAATCAATAAATGGATTGCTAGATACATGAATTAATAGATAAAGAAATTCATCTTTCAGTTCACCAAGGACTTCATTACTGGTAATGTTGAAGGAGCAGAATTCTATAACATGGGGCAGCAGGCCGTGTTAGGTAGGTTGCGTTGACCATCGAAAACCTACATGTATGAAAGCGCATCACAGGTGGGCCCGTTAATTATCTTTAAATATTCAGGCACGGTGAGGGGGTCAAGGCGTGAAACTACCCCTTCACATCCCCCGCCACCTACCGGCACGTGTTCGCTATACCTTCTGTCCCGTAGCCAAGCAGGGTTTCGGGGGGTCGCTCTAGGTAAATTTTGATCTAGGTACACGCGTGTTTTACGATAAAAGGTTAATTTTTTCAGGAAGACAACTCTGAGTCCCCCCCCCTATGAAATGGCTGGCTTAATAAGTCCTATTTAAGGTTAATAAGAGCCACCTTTGCTTAAATAGCACCTGAATGATAAGAGAGAGAGAGAGAAAGAGAGAGAGAGAGAACAACGCCTTTAATATTCCCCATTCTAAGCAGTTATTTTCGTTCTCAGGCGCCTACCCGATCCACTTCCACCTGTGCCTGGACCGTGACCTGCCTGGAATGGAACCGCCTGTCATCCGGCAGAACTCGATTCACCACGCCTGGTCCCGCTGCGTCACTGTCCACGGCACTCACGGAGTACAGGTGGGATAGAACGGGCAATGCCCTACACAGGGTTTTACAAAGTGCTTCAGGATATAAGACTTGGTTCCCATACCTAGATAAACCTATCAGAATCGATCCATGTCGGAGAGCTTTCTCGCTTAAGCGGCTTATATGTCTGGCATGCCTACTGAAGCTGCTAAATGACAATTAATTACCCCCTAGCAGCTTCATTAGGCGTGACAGACATCTAATCCGCTTACGCTGATTGCAGTTTAGCGAGAATCCCCTCGGAGATGGATCGCAGTTAGTACGATAGGGTCTGGAAATGGTCCGGTCCCTAAGGTGCGCTTGATTGCAATCCACTCCTAGATATTGCCTCAATGGAACTAGGAAGTGTAATGGAGTTTCGAAACGGCGGATGCAAACTTCTTGAATCATACGTTTATTCATTTTTTTAATCAAATTTTTTATTTTTGTAATTTATTATATTCAGAACGGAGTTTAGTTTTAGTTCATTTTATCGTTTTAGGAGAGTGCTTAACAAAGTTGCTCTGTATTATTACATACCTAAACGATAAAGTAATAAAACAGCTAATAGATTTATTGATTTATTTCCAATAGGTTATTGACAACGTAGGTTACCTGACATTTGGACACTGTTTTTATCTGGAGGACGGAGGTGAAAAAAGAACTGTCTTTGATGGCAACATTGGACTCGGAACGTTGAAGGGAAAACTTCGACCCGCTGACGAGAGGTAGTTGTTTTTTAATCAAAATTATGTTTATAATTTTTGTCAACCCAATCATTTTCTATTATCAGATGTAAATAATTCGTGGATATTACCGACTTGAAAAGGTTCCAAATAAGGCCTATAAAACAGAAAACGTCGCTGTTTGTTTCATTTAGTTTATATTCTGTTCATTACATCTGAATTAAGCCTTCATTTTTTAGAACAAACAAACTTGAATTTATATTCTCTGCTTCAGCCCCGGAACGTTCTGGATCACCAATCCCCTGACCTATATTCGTAATAACGTGGCTGCGGGTTCCGAGGTGAGATTTAGACTGGATTTCCATACCTACATAGATCGATCTAACAGGAACGATCCATCTCCGATAGGTTTCTGGCTAAATTGCTTTCAGCTTAAGCGGCTTCTATGTTTGGCACGCCTACTGCTAAATGATAACTAATTACACCCTAGCATCTTCAGCAGGCGTCACAGACATCTTAGCCGCTTAAGTTGATCGCAATTTAGCGAGAATCGAGATAGATCGATCGACAGTTAGTATGATAGGGCCTGAGAATGGTCCCTTGCACACGATCACTTCCGTCTGGGCGTCCACTGGCTGCCGAACGATTCAACTGCCGAATGTCCACTTTGCAAAAATGTTTTGAATAGTACGGTCATGGTGTAATGAATCAGATATCTACACACTTTGTCGTATTGGTTTTAATAAAACGCACATAATGTTTTGTTTATAAGTAAAGGTAATGTTTAGAAAAAAGACACTGCTCATTGCTGTTGATACCTTTGCACAGTCCAGCCGAAAAGTAAGCATGAAACCCTTTGGTAAGCTTTTTTCTGGAGGAACTGTATCACAAGCTTTGTTGTAGACGGGCTGGAGCTGATGCCATGGTGTGCACTAGTATATTGTGATTTTTATATTACAGGATATTGGTTTCTGGTTCATCTATCCGATAGAACCCAAACCGCCCTCCAAAGATTATAACATGATGGCGCCATTAGAGGCAAAACGAACAGCCATTCTGGAGTTGAAAAATAACGTGGCTCACTCAAATATAGTAAGTGAATATAATATATATTTGGGGGAGGAAAACGAACAGCCATTCGAGATTTCATTAATAACGCGGGGGTCCACTCAAATATAGCAAGTTGATATCAAAGTGCTTTAAGAACAATTTTGCAACACGAATGCTCAAACATGATCCAACAGATATTATATTACATCTAACCCCATGTTTTCCTATAGAAAGGATTTTTCTCCGATAATACTTTGGGAGACGATGAGGATATTCTCACCACTCAGAAGGAATGGAAGCCGTCCACCGTCTTCACGGCCAGCCACCTCACCGCCTACAAGAGCAAGGAGAGAAACTCTTGGTTCAGAGGAAGCCCCATAACCTTCACCCAGTGCTCGTGAGTGGTCTTCAGGAGGCTCTCTCATATTTCAGAAATACCATTTCTGCCCTAGCGATTTTGATAAAAAGTGTCAAACGAAATCTTCTCACAATATGAGTGAAAATATGAAATAAATTGGGAGCATCTAGCTGGTTTTCGAGAGGCACCGTCCCGAAAACGTCCCGGAGTTGGTATAAGTCCAAGCGTCACCGAACGCTCTTCGCTAAATTAGACGTTTGGTTGACATATTCGTAACAGCAATGCTTTCATTAAAGGATGAATGACACATTTTATTGCATGTTATATTTTGATCATTATATTTTGATCACTGTCGTAAAAAAGCACCAATTTAATACATGTATGAGAGAGTCTCCTTAAATGATTTTCGTTTTCTGTATTGTTGTTGTGCGACAGACAACGTGAGTATATTACGTATAATTAACTAGGAAATCTAAAGCAACGTTTCCTTGATTATAGTCATGGGTCGAATGGACAATAGAAGTGTCACCCCCTGCATAAGAGTAATCAAAGTTATTAACCTGAAGAGGTGCAATGTCAGAATATCGATACAGTTGAATTGTTCAGTCAGAACGGGGCTGAGGATAAAGTCGTCCGTTACTTCCAAGAGTAGTGAAGGACGTGTGACATGGCTGCTACATGTATTTAAGAAAATGTCAAAAATATTAATTATTTTAAAATGTTATTTATTTTACATTTTCAGTTTCTCGGACAGTCCCGTTGGACACACGTTTCCAATGTAAGTACTTTAATGCCTGAATATACCGGGTATCTACGCTCATATATATATATATATATATATATATATATATATATATATATCTGATAATTATCTCTTTGAAATCAATCCATGATTGCTTGGAAGACGAAGGCTTAACCTAAAAAAAGAGTTAACCAACCCGTCTGCTTAATCCCCCTTTACACTGGACGGCGTCCTTTCTGCGTCCCGTAGTACGGTCCCACTTTAAGAGTTAATTATATAATACGAACCGACAACTTGCCGCTCATTGAGCATTAAATTTTGCAACCACAGCGATACTTGTGCCTCCTTTCTACGACCACAGCAATGCCGATTTCATGGTCGCACAAAGGACGCAGAAAGGACGCCGTCCAGGTAAAAGGGGGTTAACGACGGGGTGGTAACACTAATCACTGGCTCTGTTTCAGTGGGGGTTATAATGAAGACATATTCACCAACAGCGTTATATTTGGGCAGTCGGAGAACATAGGCGAGCCAGAGATGTACAAAGAAAACAACGTATGGAAAAAACATCCGCGGTCAATGCCAACATCGAACCCGTGAGTTAGGAATTATATATTGTGCTTTAACTTCTATACTTTAGATATAATTTGATTTTATAACACGAGGTTCCATATTTTTATTTCATTCAGTTTATTTCTTTTTATTATTGTTTTTTATTTTATTTTATCTTTTTATGTCTGTAAATGTAGCATATACTTAATACGTTTTACCCTCTTGAAATAAATTTATTATTATTATTATTATTATTATTATTATTATTAAACCCGATGTACATGTACATGCGCAATTACCATTTATCATGTTTTTATGACATTATTTTTTACCAAAATAATCCATTAAAATATCTGCTATATTTATATTTTTAATAAAGAAAGACAGTCAGTTATGCAACGCATTTATACCCACCTTATAGTATAATTATATAGTATCAATTTTCCATTTGAGCTGTAATTTTGTCGTCATTAATGACCATGCTCACTACCTCTGCTGAATTATATAATCATTCTCTATCAATTCATATCACCTGTTTATGTTTCAACTTTTACAGGGCAACAGGATTCAACGGTTTGGTCATCTACGATGCGGTTAACATTGTCAGGGACACCTTTTTCGGAGGCTATAAAACTGACGAGTACCGTCCTGCCGGTGCCATTGGTTTCCTCCGGAAGTCTGCGGCCTTTAACAGAGTTTGGAACAACTTCCAGGGGATAAAGTTTGACAAAAACGACCCCGAGGCACGTTTGCATTATTTTCTAATGACATGATATTTTAATTTAATAAGTAGTGGGGTTGGGTGCAATTATGCAGCATAACATTCAAATGTTAGGCTGAACACTTTTTGTGTTTTGGAATATTTTTTCTGTATTACTATTGCCTAACCAGGTCACTATTTTACACTTAGATAACTCTTTCTCTGCGATACCAACTCGATATTGATTTTAAAACAGTCGACATGTGCAATAGCTTGATTATTGATATATTCCCAATCCACGTTCATGTAGTATGACTAATGGCAGTGTTTTATCTTTAAACTGCATGGGCTTTATAAATGAAATATAACAGGAACTTTTGCCTCTAGCCTGATTAATCATAATTTATGGAACCTTGAACTCCCTTTACTAAGACTACCATTCCTTACACAACTCTTTGTCCTTTCCTGTACTTATAATATGGGACCCCAGACTCCCTAACCCTAACCTGTACAGATCATATAGGACCCAGGTTTTCATTCCTACGGACAAACCTCCCCTTTTAACCACCACATTAATAAGCTTGAGTTGCATTACAGGGAGTTAACCACGTGTATGATGGCGACGAGGGGATATACAGTTATACCAACCTGAACGGTGATAAAGTGGTCCACTTCTACGACCTGGATGGCTCTGTGACCGGTGAGGTCATGGCGTCTGTGGTCAAGCCGCGTCAATTCTACACCACGGCCAACTGCTATAACAGGACCAACTGGAACATGGCGGTCTGCCCGGAGAGATATGGAAAAGTAATTTTGAGATATCTGGAATATCTCGTTTTTTTAATTTTCATTTATTTATTTATTTATTTATTTATTGGCGTCTTTTTTGTAAGAGATTAATGTAGCAGTATAAAAGGATCACATTCTACGGTGCACAGGTCTTTGTCATTTTTTAAACATAATGCTACAGGTAGCGCACGTTGCTGACTTGCCGACTCTGTTGAATAACTCCCGAGAAGATTGTGTAAAATATAGGAAGAGACTAACTGCTGCCATTTTGTTCTGGAATAGTGTGCCCCCCCCTCTCCCCCTCCAACCACCCCCGGGGATCTCCCCATGACTTATTCCTTATTCATCGTTGCAGATTCGAGTTAAAGAAAGGAAATACGGGGGCACCACGTTGAAAGATGACGTCTACATGATGAGGGACGACTTCCACGAGTTCAAGGAGTCCATGGACGGAACTAAGGTGGTCAGTTTTCTGATGATCGATAGATACAACTACACGATGCAGTTTGGAGGTCTGGCGCCAACTTTTCTGAAGATGGATCTAGACGGTTTTGACACGTAAGAGCAATGGTATTGCACAGTGCGCGGCTTTTGAAATTGAAGTTAGCTTTTTAACACTTAGCTTTCATTTATTGTGAATGTACAAGTCTACATGTATTCTCATTAAATAATAATAGAGCTTCAGTTTATACTAGAAAAATATATGGGTTTTCGCCGTTAATTTTCATGTAATACAGTATATATGGATCGATATTGATGGTATACTTTTTTATTTTGAAAAAAAATTTTTGAGTGCAGCAGTGAACGTGTTCGGCTTGGGATATGCTTCCCGAAGGAATCAACAGGCTTCTCGGTTAAGTTAACTGGAATGGGTACTCATACAGTGGTGACTGACTATGACGTGTTTGAGCAGACTTCCCTCACCTCTCCTTTGGTGGCTTACTGGGATAGTTCAACAGGGTAAGACTGGGTTCCCATACCTATATCGATCTAGCAGGATCGATCCATCTCCGAGGGGTTTCCCGCTTAATTACTTTCAGCTTACTGACACGCATGTACTGAAGCTGGTCATGTTTGATCCGCGGATCTGTTAGTCCGCGGATCAAAGTTGTTTGTAAATGCGACCTATGATTCAATGTCAGTGTTTCCTCGCTACCGTTACATGTACATCATGCGCACCACGACTTTATTACGTTGGTAACCAAGCTCTTAATCAGGGAACACAACTTAGGTTTTTTTTTTTTTTTTTTTTTTTTTTTATTTATTTTTGTGTGTGTGAAACTAGGGTCTGGTGTATAACACTGAGTGAGCTCTCAAAACTAACGATGATATCTTCTCATGTTCCAGGTTGCTGTCCGTCATACTAACTGGTCGGTTTGCCAGAGCCGAAGGAGACTTTTACGTCTGCCCTAGAAAGAAGTGTTCTTTCCTGGAGATCTCGCGGACCGCAGTTGCTGGAGAGAGACCTGTCGACTGCCAGTCTGACGCTTACGTCACTGGCCCGTATGCCGCCGCCATGCCGGTAGGTCACTTCCCACTTAGAAGCCTCGTTTTGGAAATTCAGTCAATATAGGCAATTGATTACTGAGTTAGAGGCATTTTACGCCCTCCAAATGCAATGCTTAGGATAAAGTATATTTCGTAGCTTATTTGAAATAAATAATTTTAAGTGACTGTGAAAGCAACGTACTCTGAAACACATAGGCAGTGATAAAGTTACAAAGTTACATGTACACAGCCGTTATATTTACCGACAATTCTCTACAGCATCATTTTTATTACTCAGGAGGCCGACTCAAGACAGTTTTTTTACAAGGACCTGAACTTTGGAACCACTCTCCCTACTTCTGTAAGCAAAATTCTCATAATTTACCGCTTATTGATGAGTTTTTGTATATATTATGTTTGTAAGTGATTCACGTCACAGTTTCGAGACAGTAGGCTTCGTGTTCCTTTTTTTTGCAAAATCACCATATAAATACCAACAGGTTTAAATCGTGTATAGGCATATTTTACATGCATTTTTTTAAGCACCGTATTTTTTTATTCTATTTTTATTTTTTTTTATTAATTTTTATCTACTGCTTAATTTTTTTATATTTATTCATTTTATTTATTTATTTATTTATTTATTGCACAACGCAGAACGTCTGGTTACATATTAAATCATCATTTAGACAATCTAAAGTGAACACCCTTCTTTCCACCTTCCAGTGGGGTGCTGGCGCTTCCAAACCCTTCCCAAGCAGAACCAAGTAGTCCATCACGACCGCCCGACAAGAACCGAGGAAATTTTAAATCTGCAAGGAAGACGACTTGAGTTAATCTTTCCCACGGTAACTCAATAACTCAGATATGCCATGAGAACAAATGTATGAGTTTCGAAAACTTACATACTGATCCTAGCGAAAACACTTTAAATCTTGATAAGACTTTTTTCTTTTTCATTTTCTTTCAAGGAACTATATACATGTCAGGGCCGTAGCCTGAGCAAAATGCCAGGGGGGGCAGTAAGCGGACACGAGGGGGCGAAGCCCCCGAAGGGGGAGGGGGTGTCCCCCTACCAGTGTGGAAAATTCTAAATCCCAAGGGGGACAGCTGCCCCCCCTGCCCCCCCGGAGGCTACGGCCCTGCATGTAGTAACCGCTGGCATGAACATTCCATTGAAAATATGAATTATAGACGATACCGGTGTAAAGCTTTAAGCTATCATATAAGTAACACTGTGACCATGAGTTAAGTGGATTGAGATGCCAATGAAGCATTTAGTTTTGATGATTTATACGAATGTACTGAGAGCTGTAGTTTTATTAAAACATATATACATTTGCAAAGCAGAACAATCGTACTTTGATTGGCGTTCTTATTCTAGGCACCCTATATAATGTAGCTATCCCTTTTCTCTGGTATGGTTTGTACCCGAATTATACAAACACGAAACTCGTTGAGTGAAGTGGTTTACCGATATGACTTGGGTACGTCGGGGGCAGGGGTGCTTTTCGTCTTTAACCATCGCGAAACCCCCTTTTTCTCGAATATTAAACAAATAGAAAATAAATAAAAACAGATATGGTGTTATTGCAAAAGAGGAAAGTGTAATATACAGGACACCAAATGCAATGCAGACGGCGATGTTTTAAAGTTTAGCACTACTATCGCAATCGTTGTGTTTTGTTTACCAGGTTAAGTCTGCAAGGCGATTGAAACTACTGTCATCGTTTCCCTTTATTGTCATCTTCCTTTGAAACATAACAAGCATAGAAGGTTGATTCATATTTGTAAACGGAAATACGTTTTTGTGATTTACAGTAGAGAAAGATGGGAAAATACCCCTATGAATGATTTATTTTCAAAGAGAGAGAGACAGAGAGAGAGAAAAGAATTTGGTGTAATTACAAAAAGGAAAGAAAAGTAAGATACAAATAGCATATTTAGGACACCACATGCAATGCAGGCGGCGATGTTTCAATGTTATGCACAACTATCGCAACCGTCTTGTGTCTTGCAAGAAATTGGGAACTACTATTTCCGTTTTCCTCAATTGCCATTTTCCTTTGAAACGCGAAAAGCGTAAAAGCGTAGCATGGTGTGTTGTAAACGACTTTGTGATTTACAGTTGAGACAGATACGAGAGAGAGAGAGAGAGAGAGAGAGAGAGAGAGAGAGAGAGATAGATTTTGTCATAAACAATGTCTTTTATGGTTTATTTTATTTCAAAGAGGGAGAGAGAGGGAAAGAAAGAGAGGGAGATTGTGCCAACAAAAAAAGTCCTTATGATTTATTTTGTTTCAGAGAGAGAGAGAGAGAGAGAGAGAGAGAGATTGTGTCAACAACAAAAAATAATCAGGTTTATGAATTATTTTATTTCAAATATCACACTTTGTTAAGAGCATATTTACAAATATGGGAAATGGCACTTGCATTTGCTTGGGTGCTCCAGTATAACTCAACAGATTTACCGATTACGTGTAGGTTCTGTGCATTAGCCGTTAACAAAAACACTGAAAAACGTGCACTGCAACATACACGTTGGATTTTTAACTCAGTGCAATATGTATATCTTCCTTGTTTTTGAGCTTCTAAAATGAAGCCTGTGGATACCGAAAAGACCGAAGATGGTCGACAATTACATGTAGTGTCCTATGGTATCACTTTGTGTTGAGAAAAAAAAATAAATAAGCAACGTTAAAGTTATATCTTCATGAAAGCGCGTGCACAAAATGTTAATTTAAAATGAATTTTGTAAGAATTTTCTTCGGGCTTTAAACAAAACATGTCAAATTAACAGAAGATTGAATATCGACGCTTTGGTGCCTTAAGACGGGTCGGACTTGCACCGTCGCTGCCTCTTGTTTCTTTGCTGGCGTTTTAAGACACGTCGTTTTTTTTTTTCGGAAAACCTTTTGAATTCTTCACAGACACACTCGGTACATGATCTACAGAGTCAGGCCGGTTGTGTAGTCTTGATGTTAATAAGAACCCAAGTTTTTTATTGCATAAAGTCGTTTCTCCTGCCTGGCTCAGTAGGGGGCCTTTCCGTCACGTTTTAACGTTGCGCAACTCCAACGCCATGCCAGTTCCCAGAATCACAGATGATAGTCAGATATTGGGTTTACTTATTTCGCCGTCAGAATCCTTTTAAACTCTGAAATTAAGAAAGCACAATATGAATATTATGTATACTTCAAAAAAGCCGTATTTGCATAATTACAACAGGTGGTCTACCAATACGACACATAGGTCTTTTACATGTGATATTCTTAGATGACTTTAAAGTTAGGCCGCCGCAGTGACGTCAACGGGGACAGGAAAACTAGCAAGGATCTTATTCTTATGTTGGGAAATTATATACATAAGGGATGGTAGGATGAATAGAGAAGACTACCGAAAGAGGATGTGGGTTTCTTCAGACATTTTCTGAGCATTTTCGGTGTTTCTCATAAGATATACAGTACACTGTATTCATCACGATATGGTGCTACTGGTAAGGTTTCGTTATCCGGCTTCACACGCTTATCACGAAATATTGACGTTATCTAATTAGATGAAGAATCAAGTGTCTTGTGCAACATTATTTACCTGTAAAATTTACTGTGCCGTCACCGTCAACATCAGCTTCTTGAATCATTTCACGAACCTCCGCCTGGAAAAACAAGAATAAAGAGGATAAATTTTAAGAATGAATTGATCGCTAATTTACACTGCATATCAGTTAAAATATACATTTCTTTAGGTCGATGTCGAAAGATTTTTTATGTTATTTAGGCTGTCGTTAATTGATATTCCCAAATGAATCATCAGGACCAAAATACAGTCAGATAATTTTTCACCAATATAATGTCAATGCCGAATCTCTACATTCATAACAAATATGGCTTCAAATGCTAGTGACGTTTTAAGTAGTATTTCCACTCCCGAAATACATACCACGTATTTTACGAACGATATTCAGGACCGTGACTAGAATTTTGATTTAGGGTGTTTTTTAAAAAAACTTGGACTTTTTGTATAATATAAGAGTTTTGAGACTATTTAGCTTTCCATCTAAGTTTTCAATCTAAAATTTAGTAACGAAAAATCGTTTTTATACTAGCCACGGTTAGTTAGTGCAGATGGAATAGTGGTTTGATCCAAAATGACCGCCTCCCCGGCAAACTCTCGACCCGGCTAAAGAGCTGCTATTGTTGTAAGACGTGCTGGCTTTTTCCCGTCAGATATCCGGACTAAGTATTATCAGTTGTATTTCTAGTTTCGCCATTTGTTTGCCATTAAACAGATTGCCCATATCGTGAATGAAGCATTTATTGCTCTCCAATATCGATTCAAGCGTGCAATATTAACTCTGCTCTACATTTTCACCATGCTGCTGGCGTTTCAAGGCTGAAAACAGACGCTACAACGCTCGACTTAACAGTACACTTAACTCACCTTTGTTATGACTTCGCCTATTTTTGTTAAGACGTCGTAAAGTTCGTCTGCGTCTATGTGCCCGTCGCCGTTTTGGTCGAAAACGTGAAACACGTCCAACAATTCTTTCTCCGGATCCCTGCTTTTGTTTTTGGACATCATACTTAAAAATTCGTCAAATTCTATCGTGCCGCTTCCTATGGGAAAAAAAAGATGAAAAAGAAACTATCAGATGGTTTGTAAAAATGATAGGTTTTTAACGATATATATGGAAAGCAACCCTAAGCGGATTGTATTTTAACCTAGGCATCTGCACTGTATATCCCCCTGCCTCGTTAAGGACAGTCAGTATATTGCACGTCAGTAAACGCTAGCATGATTGTCTTGTGATCGTCTGCAGAATAACATTTCAAACCCAATGATACCGAGTGACGCATTTTGCCGTAATTTAGTGGATCTAACGAAGAATATATATATGAAAACGGAATCTATTTTTGTCTCGCACCTTCAGTCTGGCATTTCATCATACCGTTGAGCTATGCGTATAGGTGCAATAACGTTAAATAAGAAGATAAATATGTAATTGTGCTTGGGCAGGTTTATCGACGATTAAACAAAAGACAAGAAGATCGCTATAATTTCAGTTCTATGGTGCGTGCCGCGGTCTCCGATACGTTTTAACAATGTGAAAATCGTGACCGTTTTAGATACTGCGTGCGGAAATTCATAAAACAATGCACGTTGCGTGTTTGACTTCGTGTTTGATATTAAATGACAATTTATTTAATCACGACATTGCCCGATACATCATCGTGTCGTAGGCGCCAAGAAATAAACACGCGCCTATGGTTGTTACAGTAGATTGTATCAGTAAACCAAACTAGATATTGCCTGTAAAAAACTCGTTGAAATGATCCTTTTGGCTTAAAATTCAACCTAACAACGAACCTAACGATTTTTTTAAAAATATATTTTAACAAATGTTTTAATTGGAAAACCGAGTACAAATAGCCCCCATCGAAAATGCTTCGAGCCACGCACACGCGCACGATTTTCTTTGCCTAAGCGTTTTTGCCAGAACATACCTGGTTTAAGGCACTGTCGCTCCCTCCAGCATTTAAAACTAAACTGTCCATGTATAGGCATGATTGTCGCCGAGGTCGTCATAACGCACTCCATTTCTCTAGATGTAAGCAATGTCAGTGTACTAGTACTTGGTAAATAGCTTGCTTCGACTTGAAGCGCCACAGAGAAAATGTGACAGTGTCTAAAAGCGACTAAGTCCAACGTATAGCTTAACAGTAACTGAACGCCTAAGCTGCAACTAAAGGTTCCTGGTTCTGACCAGTGGCAACTGTGATCTGAAGGAAACTGGCTTGGCAGGAGTTTATATACCGNCCCCACCCCCCACCCCCGTCGCAGATTTCTCCCTGAATAGTTAACCTCCCCCTCCTCCCAGTTAAAACTGACATTCTACGCTCTCCATAATTAGTGTAATGCATCGAGATGCTTGAGACATCAACATAGATTTTTTACATGACTGCATCCTGCTACAAAAGACGTCGTATAGACTTTACGTATAGGTAACGCCGCATAGCATTGTCAGTCAAAAAAAAGTCTTCGTAGGGGAATGATGACGAAGAAATATAGACAAAAATAATTAAATTGTAATATGATAGAGATAAAAAAGGATTAAAACTATAAAAGATGTCACAACTTTCACAGCCTATAGTCTATTGTACTGGTGTAAACGTAATTGATTTGAACGCTATTAATTGCTTTTAGTCTCTGTTGTAAAATGGTCGTTTTCCGTTCTGGCAATCGATTATTTTTCTTTTATGTTTGAATAGCCAAACATGTGATAAAATGCTTGCATTCTTCTTTTGAGTTTTGTAAGCCAATTATTTGTATTGATATACAGTATAAAGGATGCTTGTTTCCGTGATAATGTGCTGTAATCAATGCTCGTTTAGTTGCTGATATAAACCACCCAAGACAACCAAATAATTTCGTCATATTCCCAAATCCACAGGATGTTTCAGTGACTCCTGCTTCCCTTGGTTTCGGCTGTAAGAATCGACAGCGCGTCTTTTTTCCTTTTCCCTCTGGATAGCGTGCTAGTTTGGCGCAGGTTAATTACCCTAAAGAGTTTTTGGAACATCTTGTGCGACAAGCTATTTTTGTTTGTGGAAAAACACTCTAATTGGGGGGAAAACAGGAAACGGGAAATGCGTCACAGAGATTACATAATTGTCGCTTTTACATAGGACAGTTTTGTGGTGATGTTGGTTTTCACCCAATTGGTAACATGCGTCCGAGGTGGGTAAAATCTCGATTTTTTATGGTGCTTGCGTGGCTGTAAAGTCAAGAGGTCTATCTCCTAGTTTCACATCGAGACAGCAAGTAAAACGAAGCGCAGCATTTTCCAGCTAATAAAAAGATATTACCACAAACACGACTCGTCGTAAAGCTGTAGGTTGAATCATTTATTTCTGGATCGAGAACATACGGGTATTTAGTAAGAGGAGCATGGTCAACAAGCAATGGCAAGGATTTTCACTTTCTAGCCCAGACAACCATTAAATGCCACTTTCTCGTAGAGACGAAAAACAATCAAACCACGAAACAAAATTGCTAAAAGCCAGCAAATCACTGGTTCTATGATGCTAGTTTTGCTCAATTTTCTTCCATTTTCTACAGAGATATAGGTTTTCCTGTCTGTTGCGGTTAACCACACCTAGCCTTGCTATTTAACGACAGAAAAAACTAATGAATAAAATTACAGAAATCAAGGCCCAGAAAACACGAAAACATCCACCAAGAAACAATATTTTCTTCAAATACAATTTTTGCGATCTTTTTAATTGTTTGTTCATCATCAAGCTGCAGAACTCGACTGCTCATAATAAGAACATTGGGGTGACCTTGGGAAACAATCACAACGATTTCAAAGTTATTAATTGGGAGATATCTGTAATTTAACCAATTTTCTAAAAACACATATAACAACCGACCTTGATGAACTGTTAGTGTTATCATCGCTGGCAAACCACAACAACACGAAAAGAGCCCAGGAAATAAATGCAAGATTTGGGAATCTGATCAGACTTCTTGGATTGGATGAAGATTGATAGGGATAATCCTTAAATTTTACTTCACTTTTAAATTCTGTACAACACAGGAGAGGGTGGGGTACACACAGTGTAACAAACTTCAATTTCAAGTGACTCAACCAGTCCAGCCCAGCCCTAAACTCCGTGATTTTGCGATATTTTGCGTTATTTTGATTTGAAGAATTTGAAGTTTGGCGGGAGCAGGCCACAAACACAAACACACACACACACACACACACTTACATGACACATTATTCACGTCTTCATTCTATCACCTCCATGAAACCTGGTTTTTCATACCTTTACTGTACGGGGCGGGCAGTGCGTCAGCTCACTCTTACTTTCAGAAACGAAAACTCTGATAGAGAGACACAACAAGAGAGAGAAAGATGGAGAATTGTTTATCTAGCTGAGAGCAGGTCAATGTGATCTAGCTGTAAAGCCGTCGCCATGACGCGGTCAGATGAAGTGTTTGGCAAATAATCTTTGTGGTTACCGTCAATTTTATAAGAATTGCTAGACAGCATTGACATCAGAGTGTGTGCTACTTACAAGTCATGATTTCTANGGGGGGAGGCATACATATAATGAAATAAAACGACACAATTCGTAGGACGACAGACAACAAAGAAGATGACGTTTTCTTTCAATTGTCCCCCAGGATTTCGCAGTGGCCTATTGGTGACATCAAACATTAGCGTCGATCACTGTTAAATGACCGGTTTGAGTTTTCCTGGAAATTTTAGTCATTCCCTTTATCAGCAAGGCACACGTTATCCACAACCGTTGAGAAAAGTATTTTGTATTTTCATAAATCAAATTTCCGAGTTCTTAATTTGTAATTACCTCCGCCGAGGAGGTTATGTTTTCACCCCTGTTTGTCTGTTTGTCTGTTTGTTTGTCTGTCATCAATATAACTCAAAAAGTTATGGACCGATTTTGATGAAATTTTCAGGAATTGTCAGAAGTGGGCCAAGGAAGAGATGAATAGTTTTTGGTGGTGATCCGGATCAATAATCAATCAATAATCAATAAAAATAAAAAATTGCTGCCTTGGCGGAGGTCTGCGCTCTCGGAGTGCTTTTCTAGTTCTTTTTGAAGTTACAAGTGGAATTCACACACTTCCTATACAAGATTGACTCAAAATGTGAAATTTTATAGCTAAAAAAAAAACGATTCATAGATCGTAAATTGGCCCACGGTTTTATGTGTAATATACATTTGCAATAAGAAAAGAAAAGAAAAGTGCTATATACCCAAGAGAATTTCCAAGAATCGTGCTGCACAGGAACGTGTGGCCTTAAGTCCCATGCCTGTGGGTTGGGAACGCCACGAGATATCGTCTACACGTGCAGATTTACCTGTCATGCCGGTATCTCTGATGACGATGTTTTGAAGATACTGATATCTCTGATAATGATGTCTCGGGGATGAGTGTTATGGTAGACGTCTTCTTAACACCTTAATATACAGATCTGCAGGCAACTAATTCACATTAAGTTATCATTATCATCTCGTTATGCTATCTCTCACTAAATCAAGCACTGACTCGCTATTAATGAGTTATAAACATTCGAACGCATCCCTCTATAATTATACCTTGTGGCTAATACACACCTTCTAGTAAAAGTTACGTGGGTACAAGTCGCACATCTTCGAGCAACATTTCAGTACACTACAACTTGAAGACAGTTAATTGGACAGCGTTTATTCCTCAAAGCTATAACAATTTATTTCTTCTGCCCTTTGTCACGTAGCGTAAAGATGTCTTTGATTGCAGGGTCACAACAAAGCTTTTCAATTATTTTCTGTACTGAATTCAGGACACTATTCCTTTTATCTATGTATGCCGTTAAAAGAGCCTTATGGCAAGAATGCCATCAAGTTTGAAGGATTTTAGAATTTAAGCCTAGATTTCATGTATATTTGCAACGCGGTAGCCGCACGTACACGTACGTAAATCCTTTTCGTGCGGCGTCTTTGCGGAGGTAGGCGTGCGGAATCGTATAATAAAATAATATCATATTATATTAATATTATATTATATTATAATATCATAGCAAATAATTTGGGCCCTGATTTCA